GCTCGGTGGAGCGGGAAGGCGCGGGCGCCGCCGCAGCTGCTCCGGCTGCGGCCCCGCGCTCGCCGGCCCCGCTTCCGCACGCGTCCTTGCAATTCTCTTCTTCCTCCCCCCGCTTTCGTTGACCCCCCTCTCTTTCCTGCTGTCGCCTCGGTGCTCCCCCAGCGGAGCGGAGATTACAGAGCGGTCGCGATGCCCCAACTCTCCGGGGCCGGCGGCGGCGGCGGGGGGGACCCGGAACTCTGCGCCACGGACGAGATGATCCCCTTCAAGGACGAGGGCGATCCCCAGAAAGAGAAGATCTTCGCCGAGATCAGTCACCCCGAAGAGGAAGGCGACTTAGCTGACATCAAGTCCTCCTTGGTGAACGAGTCCGAAATCATCCCGGCCAGCAACGGACACGAGGTGAGCGGGCCGCCGCCCCGGCTCCGAGAGGCGTGGCGGGTCCCGGGGCGCGGGAGGGGAGGGAGGGAGGGCGCCGGCGGTCCGGCCGAGGGGCCCATGGGCGCCCCGGTGGCAGGGGGCGGGGTGGCTGGGCCGCTGGTCAGCGCTTTTCCTGTGTGCGCGTGTGGCGCGTGTGTCGGGGGGGCGGGGGGCGCAGGGACACTTATCCCGAGTGGGTCCGTTCGGGTTGGGTGGCTGGACCGTTGGTTTGCGGGCAGGAGAAGCTGCCCTTAACCCTGAACGCCTCGCCTTCGGCCTCGTTCGGTGGGCTGAGCGGGTGCGAGGACGTGTGAGCGGCCCTGAAAGTTCTTCGGTAGACGGAAGACGGCGCGCCCGCTGCCTCCGGGTGGGTGTCTGCACGAGTGCGTTAACCCGCCGGAGGCTCAGGCGAGACGAGCGGAGCCGTAGGGGCGGGGAGGGGAAGGGAGGGGAGGGCAGGGAGGCGGGCGAGGGCCTGGACCCGCGGGCCGTCCCAACCGCCGCCGAGCGGGGCCGGAGCCGCCGACCGGGGGGCGGCGCGGGCGGGTCCCTGGCCCCGAGGTCCCACGCGCCGGCCGAGCCTCCCCGGGGGCCTCGCAGGGCCGCTCGCCACGCCGGTTTTCTCCAGCCCGCGTCACTTAAAAGAAAGAAAAAAGAAAGCGCTTATGTTCGGGGTTAGTTTGGGCCCGGATCAGACCTTCAATCTATGCAGAAAAAGGCGAGTCAGAGTGGAGATGCGGCGGAAGCCAGGGCACCCACTCCGGAGGGTGGAGGGCGCCTTATCAGATCTCCCGGCCGGCGGCGAGCGCGCCGTAACCGGAGCTGGTAAATAGAGACACGTGGGCGCCGGCGAGCGGGAGCGCGAGCCCGGCGCGGGGACGGCGAGTTCAGGCCGCGCGGAGCTAGCGGGGCGGGGGCGGGAGGACCCTGACACCCGACACCCCACCGGCCACCCTCGTCTTCTACTGGGAAACTCTGTGGAGGAAATCCGGTAGAAAGGTCCTGACACTCAAATGGTTTCACCAACGCTTTTTCCCTCCAGAGGCACTTGGAGGGTATACCCTTTTTCCTTAAATGGCATCTTTCTGCCCCCAAAAAGAAAGCGTGTGGTTTTGGGGGCGGGGACATTTTGGGTTTTAAACACACGTTTAAGAACACCTCAGAGTTACCTTCTTAATCCCAATGGCAGGGGTAAGTACGCGTTTTGGAGAGCTGGGGGCCTGGTTCTAGAAGAACATAGGGGTGTTCGTTATCCCCTGAATCTTTCGTTCCCACGTGCCAATTTGACGGGAACCTCGGGAGGGGGGCTAGGGTGCACCCAACCTCATTAAAAACGTTTGTGACTGTGGGGGGGGGGCGGGCGGAGGGGGGAAGTCACTGCGAGGACGCGTGTCCAGGGAACCCAATAACATCCAGAACAGGGGCCAAACTCGTGTTTGTAGAGCAACCTCTGTTTCTTTCTACTCATTTTGCTTGTCCTCCTTTATTCCGTAAATTTGCCACCGCTTCACGTTTTCTACACGTTTCTGCTCTGGGGAGGAGGGCACTGGGTTTGCAGCCCAGAACCCAGGGTTCTGTTCATCCTTGCCGCGGTGCTAAGTGGGCATGGGGCAGACCCAAGATGGGGAAGGCATAATACCACTGATTTGCACGTGGTTGAGTCTGGGTGGATGGTGGTTACCAGAACTGATATTAGCTGGGCTACCTTTTAGATGTCTGTAACCTGACTCTCAAATTTTCCTCCCTTTAACCACAGAACAGTTCACTTTTCTCTTGTAAGCTTGCACTCAGCCAGCCACTGTAGGTTATAAAGAGTGGCTCTCCTGCTGGGGACTGGCTTGGGACAATAGCCTTAAGACCCCCATCTGTGAGTGGTTGGCTTGTTTTTATTTAAAATGTCATTTTCAGTTGCAAAATGACATTTCAGCCTGCTTTTAATCAGCTCTGATTGAAGTGAACAGTGGTTGAAGAAGCTATCAAAATGATCAGCCCCATCAACTCAAACTCCTATAATCTTGGGCCTCCCAGCAGCCTTGATGCGTTTTAGCAAACAGCAGTCGGATAGTATGTGGATCTTTCCCAAATTTACTACATTGTTATTGTTTTTGTTATTATTTACACTTTCTAGTCCTGGATAGATAGTAAGCACTCAAAAATACACGTTAAAAAGAAAAAGATTTCCCAGTACTTAGCCCTGCCTACCCCTCTTAGAGTAATTAAGCAGGTAGATTGAGTTGCACCCAGTCCTCCACCTGTGAGTGACCAGGGGACACACCTGTCATTGTTGTCACAAACTCTAAGGTGATGTTTCTCTCTTTTGGGGGTGGGGAATCGTGCTGTTAGGTGGCCAGACAAGCACAGACCTCTCAGGAGTCCTACCACGACAAGGCCAGAGAGCACCCTGCTGACGGTAAGACACTAATTCTTCTCCCAGCTTTATCATTTAACGTGTGCAATTTGTGAATATAGTTGTGTTTTGCTATATTTATTCGAATCCACAAAACCGGGATCAGATGTGATAAGACTGTGCCCACTATTTCAACAAAATGGGAAAGAAAACCCAGGAAACATACTGCTTGTCTCTAATGTATATTTACATGATTTAAAAACTGTCTTTGAATGAGTTAGGGGACTTTGGATGTCAGTTGGCTTGCAGAGTTTTTGTGGATGAGGTTATGTCTAAAATGAGTTTTCCTCTTTTCCTCATTTTACCTAAAGTTCTAATTGGCTTAGATCTTTGGTATTTTTTCCTGCTTTGTTGTCAAGAGTGACAGTCTGTACCAATTTATTTTCCAACAAGAATAGTTTCAAGTGGATTTTCGTTTGTAAAATTGCTATTTCTTGTTACAGTGAGAAGGCGGCAGGCAGTGAATGCAGAGACTAAGTATGGCTCAGGAAAGCAGAGTCTAACTTGTAAAAATATAAAACCTTACTCTTAAAATTAGCAACTATGTGTAGGGAACTTGATAGACTTTCTTCTCATACCTGATTCTTGCTCAAAAGTTTAAAAATTGTATATATTTTTTAGATTTAAGGAGAACCCCCTGTGACTTTAAAAGAATCAAGTAATCTGTCTGGTTTCCTTGTCTGACAGTCTGCATTTCTGTTCTCCTTTAATTACTTACAATTGACCTGACCAAATGAAGTGTTCGTACATAGGGTATGTCAGCCAGGAGAAGAAGGGAAGAGGACCATAATATCAGGCTTCTTTCTGAGCTACAAAGTAGTTACACAGATTAAAGAGAAGAACTGTATATACTGAACACACACAGATTTCTTTGGTAGAATGATGTAAATGTAGCACATAAAATTAAGTCTCCTAGAGTTAATCCTTCATCAATTTGAGGAGTTGCCCATATGCTCTCCCTTAGTAAAATTTAGGAATTTTCTAGAACTCCAGGAGCACGGGTAGAATTTTTGAGTTTGCCTGTAAGGTGGAGCTTAACTTCAATTGTATAAATACATATGTGTGTGTAGCTGAATGGGCTGATATATTTCTATTACAGCTTGAGGTTTGTATCTGTTCTTCGGTGTCTGTATTTCTTTGTCCAGTTTGTTAGTATTAGAGCAAATTAAGTTAGATGGATACACTTAGTTTTGTAAAAACACTAGTCAGTAGTGGAAGTAAATTGAACCACATGTTTTTACAACATCTGGTTCACTGCTAAGCCATTTAAGAGAATAAATACTGTCAATCTAAAATAGAGCATGATAATCCAGTTACAATATTTTGTAAACAAGTCTTTTATGTACTGTCTGACTTGTCGTAGAACTATTAGGTTTTCAGAGGAAAAATGCAGTGATGTAACAAGGCAGTCAGTGCATCCTTGATTGTTCCTTGCATCCTCTCAGGGAAGCATCCAGATGGAGGCCTCTACAACAAGGGACCCTCCTACTCGAGCTATTCCGGCTACATAATGATGCCCAACATGAACAGTGACCCGTACATGTCAAACGGATCTCTGTCTCCACCCATCCCGAGAACAGTGAGTAACATGCTGCTGTTGCAGAGTATCTTCAGAAGTGCAGATTAATTTGTATTTTGGCAAAATGTTTGTTTTTTAAAACACATTGGAAGTGCTTTCATTATATATGACAGTCATTGCTAAATCAGACCTGCTCTGAGGAAGGCTGCCTTGAGAGAGTGCTGCCTGGGATGTCTTGCACTTGGAATTTTAGCTTTTGGCTTATTGGTTAAGATTAATAAATAACAGATCACGAGTGATCATGAAAGCAAATGAAGTTAAATAGATTCATGATTTTATGAGTATTGTGCTTTCTATGCTGATGAGAGGAAAAAAACGATTTAATCTTTCTGTTAATTAAGTGCTGTATGGCTTATATTGCCTGTTAGCTATCTAGAATCAGCACTGCTTCGGCTCACTTGGAGCCAAACATTCGGAATGTTACTTCAGCTTTTAGAACAGTGTCTCGTTTTATTATATTAGCTAATGTTTCTTTAAAATCAGCTTGGGGTTGGGGGGACAGGGAGATGAGCTATTTTTACTTTATTGTCAATTGCTGAGAAAGTGTCACTCAAAGATAACCCTAATGAAAATTGTTCCTTTTAATCTCATGATTCAGTTAACCTTCAAGTTCTAAAAATGCAGTGGCATTATAACTGCATTATGCAAATGTAACACTACGAAGAATTTCAGATACGTTACTTGATGATATTTCTCTTTGTTGGGAAGTGGAAACCTCATTTATGCAGTAGGAAAAGAGCTACAGGGTGACTTGTGTAGTGTGTGGACACGAAATGTGCTGGTGATGAGTTCTCCCGGGAGAACCGTCCCTCCAGCAATGGTGACGGACTTTTACTAATCCGTCAATATATTTACCTTCTTACCAACCTCATTCTCCTTCTACCACCCAACCCCCAAGAAAGACATGTGTGTTTGGGTCTTGGGTTTAGGGTTTCAGGCTAACTGGCCCTCCGGGGAGTCAAATCCAGGATCATAAAATGGAACCTGTGGACTTTGCCTTATTAGCCCAGTGCTTCCACCAAGTGAAAAAAAATCAGTCACAGACACCTGGGGAGAGTACTGTCCTTAATACCTCAGTGAACAGAATCAGGGAGCAGGAGGATTCACCCGAGTAGCAGAGAGGAATGGCTCACACTCAGTCCTCAACACACGAGAGTGTTCATGGTCATCTTGGTGATCTGGAGACTTCGACTGTTGAAATGACAGGTGTGTGAAATACAGCCGCTTTATGTGGGTGCTGTGATTTAGAAGTTATTGGAATTTTTTTCCCATAGATTTCAAAAGGATATTTGACCTTTCAAGTGGGGAATAAGATTTTTCTAATTTTCATATAGCAGCTAAAACGGTGATCTTGGAGATCTTGGGATGGGTGTTATAGGAAATAGCGATTTCACATTTTATTTTAAAGGCTTTTCAAATATTTATGATAGAGATGTCTGTGTGGTACATATGAATCTTCTACCTAAAAAATGAATGAATTAATAAAAGCAAATATAATTTGTTAGAGACCACCCCAAATAAATGCCTCTGAGTTTTTAAAATTTGCAGGAGACTTATTTGTGGAACTAAATATGCAAACATATCAGGTATTTCTTTTAAAGTTGGGCTTTTTTGTTTTGTTGATTTTGTTTGGAGGGGGAGGAGAATATGTTTTAGATAGAAATAATTAAAGATTTTTATTGAAAGGCTTTTCAGAACAACAAATAATCTTTCTGACGAATCCGATTTAGTCTATGACTTGGCAACAATAGAAATAGCCACTAAAACAATCTTAGACTTTCTGGCTGTGCACGCAGTTAATGCTTAATAAGTATCTGTAGAATTTATGCCTTAGTTCAGCTACTTCTCCTCTCAAAATAATAATTTTTCAAAGTCAATATAATAAAAATCTTTTGGTATTTATAGGTTATCCCTAAGAATACTGAAAATTAAGCTTCTCTTTCTCTTTAAACCAGCATTTTCTGCCTTAGGCCTCTCCTCCTCAGTGTACTAATCGTTTTGAAATTTTAATAGAATGGAAAGTATTTATTGTTAGTATATGTATTACAGTTTTGAGGTCAGTGAATTGCACAGCCATTCATTGTTTAGGGAAGGTTTGTGGCCAGAATACATGTTGGTGGGTGGAGAGTGGGGGAGAGGGGTGTGGTCGGGAAGCAGTTACCCTGTTATCTGCTGCTTTGCTTTATTCTGTGACATTTTAGGAGATATTTATTTTAAGCACGTTTTCTTGTGATATTCTGCAGTTTGCACAAATCCAGAAGCTTTTCTGTTTTAACCTCAAGGCTACGTCCAATTTCTTTTTTAGGGTCCAAATGAAGTGAGTTGCAATCTTTGGTTTTTCTACATAACAGCTGTTTTTAATGTGTCTGAGATCCAAAACACTTGAACCGGAAGGTGGCCTCTCCTCTTCACCCCTAACCACACTCTACCTTCTTGCTCCTCAGCTCTGCCCTTAGCAGGCCTGAGCGCTGCTGTGACTGACGCCCACTGTGATGGTCTGCAGCTAGGGTGTCAGGAACAGGGCCACCGTTTGTGTTTGGGCTCAGGGTGGGAGCAGCCCCATGGCATCCGTGTTCCTTGAATTTGCATTACAAACAACTGCTTGTTTGCTGCATCTGCTGCCGGCAGGTGTGAGGACTAGAAAAACATCTGGGGGTGGGGGAGGGCCCTGACTGCCCCTTCCCCACACCCAGTCTTCCGCTTGTATGTAGCTGCAGGTAATTCGGAGAATACCAGCTCTGGCCAGTTGTCGCGCACGGAAATGAACAATTCTATGTGCTTTTCCTCTTTTAGACAAACACTGACACACGTATGTTCCACAGCTTTTTCCTATGACCTAAACACAGTGTGACCAACTCAGGAGAACCACCTTCACCAATCCAGCGTTTTTCCTTCTGAAGGGAAATTTTAATTGGCTATTTACATCCTTCCAGAACTGGAATTCTTAGAGGTGTGTCTACACCAGAAATCTTGAATGGATGTCTCACAGAATTCTAAATAAGAATCCTTAGTTCAGAGAAACTGGGCCTAACGGGAAAGCACCCACAATCCTAACACATTTGGTCAATGCAGTTCTGAGCGCACAGTGAACCGTGGCGGCAGTCGGTCATCCACCGAGAGTAAACAGAGGAGGCACAAGCTTCTTAAATATTTCAGAGCAGGGACCCTGGAGAGTTTATTAGAAGCATACTCCCGAGGCTGTTTTTCCTGACTCTTATTTATGAAAATCCCCTGCAGGCCAGTGGTCAAGTATTAAAAGAAAAGGGAGAGTTGGTACCTCCTCGCTGGGTCCTGGCCTGGAGGGCCGGCATGCCTTGTGCACAGGAGCTTGCCCGCCTCTCACATAGTGCAAGTTCCCATTAGCCTCATGCACCGTGGTTATTCATCTTAGGTGTCAAACTTCCATTTGTCCCGCACGCAACCCAAACGTTTAACACCTCTGCAGAGAGACATCTCATTTCTCTTCAGATGCTGCGGAGGGAACGCAGCCGCTCGGTGCAGGAGCACAGTGCAGGAGGCTACAGCAGAGGCCGGCCGCAGCGGGTCATGCCCGCCACACACCTGGGCCCGGGGCGCTGCGGGCGTCATGGTCCTGTTTCTTTGTGATCTTTCTGAGGATTGATTTTAGGTGGGAAAGGAAGACGTTTGTGTTCGAGTTTCATCCTTCTTTCCTTATTTTTAATAGATATTGCTATTAAAGTGTTTCAGGGGTTCATTTTTCACTATTTTGAGCAGCTCAGTTCTGTTGCATGGTTTTTACCTTAAGGGAATCAACATTTTGATTTCTGCTGAACAGAACTATACCTATTATAACTTTGTCTTAAACCCTCCCCACAATGTTGGTATTTGCTTACCAACAGCTAAAATTTGATTTTTGTCCTTGCTCATGTGTGGAATTGAGGAACTAAGGTGGACTCGTCAGTCAGCTTCTCAGTGCCGTCGTACGTCACATTGCTGCCTAGCTTTGAAAATAATCACAGAAATAATAATTAACTCAAGGGTAGAGAGAGACTATGGCCTATATTTTGAGCAAGATTTTTAAGGTGGACTATCTTTTCTCTCTACTGCAAGGAGCTACTTAATTTGACTTATTGATAAATATTTTTAATCTTGTGATCTAAGTTATATACTCTTTGAAGCTAAGTATATTGACTTTTCCTCTTTACCTCAAGCGCAAGAGAAGTTAAGTTTTAGAAAGTGTATTCCATCTCCAATTTGAACGTGGATGTCAGGAGGGTGTGTGGAAAGACTCCTCAGAGCCCCAAACACTTGTTTGATTCATTCATTCTTTCTTTTTTGTTTTTTTTGTGAGGAAGATCAGCCCTGAGCTAACATCTGCCAATCCTCCTCTTTTTGCTGAGGAAGACTGGCCCTGGGTTAACATCCATGCCCATCTTCCTCTACTTTATATGGGACGCCGCCACAGCATGGCTTGACAAGCAGTGCATCACTGCGCGCCCGGGATCCAAACCTATGAACCCCGGGCTGCCGCAGCGGAGCGCGTGCACTTAATCGCTTGCGCCACCAGGCTGGCGCCTGATTCATTCTTAATGGTACTGCTGCAGAGTCGGGCAAGGATCACAGTCAGGATGTTGGGAGCTGCTGCCGTCCCCTGCAGATACGGTAGATGCTCGTGACCCAGAGGTTTGCTTCCTCTGGTGTCCCAGGGAGCACACTGCCCGTAACTCTTCAGGAGTTTGTGCTGTACTTGCGTGACCCGCAGGGGCAGGAGGATGATCCTTGCTCAGATGTGTTTTTTTGAAGTGACCCTAGAAATTTCTTGTTCATTCATAAAGACATGAGAAAAACCCAGTTTCACTAAAACCAGACCGCTGAGCCAACCTGCAGAAAATCTTGACCTTTGAAGTCCCCCACCCCCGACCACCCGTTGCAGGCTCTGGACTTGTTCTCATCAGCCTCATTGTTTTAAGTCAGTCTCTCCTGTGGTCAGAGACCCACATGTGACTTATTAGCACAGATACAGGGCCTCACAAATGGGT